GTAGTTTTGGAGATTTCGGGTCTTGTCCTTTTTTTGGTAACATTACAATCTCAACATGCTTCCAGCTCTTAGGGAAGTATCTGAGATTCAGCGAGCTGTTAATAATGTTTTTGAACGTCGTTTTTTGGTTGTCTGGCAGCTGTTTCAATAACCTGTTGCTTATTGCGTTAGCTCCTGGGGCTTTTTTGGGCTTGGTGGCGCGAATCAGTCCGTTCAGTTCTTCTTCTGATACTGATCTGATGACGTCTTCGTCATTGAGTAATAGTGTTTCTTCCACTGCTTCCTCGATTCGTATATCTCTATCAATATCATCGTTTGGGTCTATGTTCAGCCTGAATTGGCTTTCCATAGTATCCGCGAAGGCTAAGGCTTTGTCTTCCGTTGTGAAACAGACACCTGGTTGACCGTGTATTGGCGTTGGGGCTTCTCTTTTGTTTTTTCTGCTCTTGACTAATCGCCAGAGAGAGCTATCTCCGGGCTCGAGTCCCAGGAGGTATTCTTGCCAGCGTTCATTCCTGAAGTCTAGAATGGCGCGTTTTACTTCACTGGCTTTCGCATTCGCATTGGCTCTATCTCCTGGAAATAGAGTCCTGTGGTATCTTCTTCTGAGACGGTTTCTTTCTCTGATTAGAGTTTTGATCCGTCGAGGAAATTCGTTGTATGATTTCCTTGGTTCCACGTACGTCGTGGTAACCGCTGCGAGTGCATTTCTGATGTTTTCCTCAAACCGTGTTACCGTAGCATCTAAGGCTTCGGGGGTTTCCGGGGGTCGTTCTATGACGGGGATTGCTTCCAAATACGATTTGAGAGCTTCCCAGTTGGTCCTGATTCCTTCGAACTTGTTTTCTATTGGGGGGCCGTCCCCTAGAATCAGTGTCACTGGGAGGTCACATATATATCCCAGTTGAGCGTGATGTTCCTGACAACTGCTATGTCAAGAACATCGGGTCTGTGTGGCAGTTGGTAGTGGGTAGGTTGTGGCGGGCCCAGAACCTGATAACCGTGTTCGTCGGCGTGAGCGTAGAGCGCTCTGCCATTCATATTTGTAGCTCTGCTTCCACTGCGTGTGTTTCGCATTGAAATCTCCTGCAGCTATCGTCGCGGTGTCTGTTTCTAGCAGGAGAGCACTGAGTGCTTCCGGCTGTATTCGGTTGTTGGGGGGATTGTATACCGTTATAATTCGGTGTGGCCCTCTTTGAAGGTTTACTTCGAAGCCTATAGCTTCTAAACGATTTAGCGCATCCTCGTCAAGACCAATTTGAGCGTGTCTAATCGATCTTTTTATGAGGATGGCCACTCCACCTCCGCGTCTACCGACTCTGTCTTTTTTATGGAAGACTTAGTTCGGAATCGATATGGTGTTTCCTTGCAAGTGCGTCTCTTGCAGGAGCATGACATCCACGTCGTTTTCTGTTAGGAAGTTCTCTACTTCGAGTTTCTTCCTGAGTAGCCCGTTGGCGTTCCAGGTGACAATCTTCAGGGATTCTGGGACTATGTGGCGTCTAGCCATTTAGTTCCTGTTGACTGCGGGGGGGTTTGCCGCGAACATCATATGTAGCGCGGGAAACTGCGTCATCAGTGTTTTAAGCGTATTCTGGGGAATGCAGGACAACCTCGATAGCTGGCGGGGTGAGCTCCTTTGCAGTTGTTGCATTTCGCGGGCAACTGCGTGTCTCGCTTGCACTCGGCCGTTAAATGACGTCCGGCGCATTTCACACAGATCGGAATTGCCTTGCAGTTCCGCTGTGTGTGACCGAATCTCTGGCAACGGTAGCACTGGCCTACCGTAGTTCTTGGTCGCTGTGTCTCTGCTCGGACTCTTATGTTGAGGATGTCTCCTACGTTGTATATATGTCCTTGTGTTTTGGGAACCAAAACCAGGACCAACGGTAGCTCTTTGCTGTCCGCATTTTTCATCCTGGATATGGCCAGGATATCGAAACCTCTCGCGTAGAGCTCTGCTTTAATATCCTTGATGTACAAGAATTCTGGGACACCGCGGAAGATCACTCTTAGTGGTTTGTCCTCCACCATACTGTACGTGTGGTGAGGGATTTTCATTTTCTCTAGTAGAGCCATCATTTTTCTATAGTCAGGGATTCCTAGAGTCAGGGATTCCTGTTGGCTGTACTCTGATACCATCAACCGTGTTGGTGGCTTTGGTGAAACCGATTTTTTCTTGGTTTGCCTGTTCTCTGAACCGAGTCCAGCTATCTTTCTGTCTGATTGTGATAGCCGGGGGGTTCGCCGTTTTCTGAGTTTCCTGTGTGTTTGCAGGTAACCCGTTGTTGTCCTCTCTTTGTGGTCTGTTTACCTCTCTTGGGGGTGGTACAGGTACAACTATTTCTTTTGCCTTTTCGGTTACCTGAGTTGAGGTACCTGGCCTAGCCTCCTCTGCGGGTGCGCTTTCTGGCTCTTGCTCGGACTTCGTATTCTCTTCTGCGTGTGTGGGATTTGGCGGTGTATCAATCGCCATTTCCTCACTGTCATTGTCATCATCGAAGGTATTTTCCGAATCTGAGATTGACTCAGTTCGTATCCTCTTATATCTCTTATTTTGTGGCTGCACCGGGGGGTCCTCTTTCGACTGCCTTTTGGTTTTCGTGGGTTTCCTCACTTCTACTTCTGTTTCTTCTCTGGTTTCTAGTCCTTTTTCGACTAGCTCGTAGATTTTAAGGATTTCTGCCCTACTATAGGCCAGAATCATGTTCGCCAGTTCCTCCATACTGGCCCTATCTATTTTTGTATTGAAACTATCTCCGCGTTGAACAGTTCGCGCACCGATATAAAAGGTAGAATCACAACTCACCTGTCCGGTCTCACCGGGGAAATTCAACGACAGCACTTCTGCACTTCGCAGAGAATCAACTAACACGAGTTGACTGTCTTCTCTGTGCATACACTTCGCTTTCACTTCACTATAACCTCAAATCACAATGTCGACTCGACTTTGATGTTAGCACCTCAATCATGGACTTATTCCTCCGAGATCTGACTTTATAGGTCATTCGAGTGCTTTCACCTATCCCCTCTTTCCTCTTCATTGGTTTTAGCGGAAGATTACCGTTTGGCTGGAGAAAAAAAAAAGAGGAGATAGGTGAAAGCACCCGAATGACCTATAAATAGTCAGATCTCGGAGGAATAAGTCTAATTATCACCCGAAGACGATTGTGGATACTAACAATCGAAACATCGTGACGTAACTTGGTTTGGAATCTTTTGATTTTTATTTTTCATTTTTTGTTAATATTTTTAATTTTCAGCTTTTATTAATATCTCAATTTTTATTTTTTAGTTGTAGCTTGTATGTTATATATTTAATGAAAATATCACATCTTTATCGAAAGTTTACATAAATATATGAAATTTCACATATTTTTTATCATCAATCAAAAAATTAACTCGTAATTGCGTAAGCCACTTTCGGTGAAGGGAAAATCACAAGTCTCCTCTTTTTCCGTGAACCGCGCTCCAAAAAATCTAGCGACTTCAACACAATATCTGTGTGTCGTATGTATTGGTTTGCCGAGTCCATTCATTTTTTTACTTCCATGCTTAAATTCACAATATGAGATCAAACAATTTCAGAAAAGTTGTTCGCCCTATTAGAAAATAAGCATTAAATGAAATTCGAAAAGAAACTGAAGATAGATTTAATTTATGCAAAGCTCAAAATGGACGATTGTTTGAATATTCTTTCTGGATGCATGCTCTACAAAATTGTTTGAGGTCACTTTGTGTCCGGTTTTTTATTTAGCAATAAATAAAATAATCGTTAGGTATTGCTCCGATTTTATGACTTTTTCATACTTATTTCTAATGCCTACCGTGATGGTAGACGAAATGTCAGGCATAGAAACCTGCGTACCACGGTTATTCAACCTAAAACATAACATCGACACAGTTATTCTTGTCCGTGAAAGTTCACATAGGCAACGTTTACATTTGGCAAGTTTACTGGTAAAAAGTACTTGCCGCTAGTCATGTGTAAACAGCAAGAAAGTGCACTTGCTACTTGTCTGGGCTTGCCGGGCAAGCACTTTCCAAAGTAGACGGACTGGCTGGTGTACTCTCCGCTACGCTGAATATTTGTTTTTATTTTCTATGTGTAAACGGATCCGGACAAGTAAAAATTCGTTCTGGATTTCGAACTGTATTACTTGCGAGCCGCCATCACTGCTTTTTTATAATGTTTATCAAAACGATGTATCCTTGGTCGCTCCGTCTATAGTTCCATGCACACAGCTACAGGACGGCACTGGACTAGTAAAAATCAACCAGTAAGTCCACTCCCACTACTTTCATTCATAAATTCACAAAGTTCTAGGTGACCTCGAAACGAAGAGTGGAACCAATTCCATTATTTTACCATAGGCATGCGCTCATATAAAAACGAAATTTAAGGTTATTATAAAATATTTTGTTGTAAATTACTTATAACCAGCTACAAAATCTAAAAACAATAATAACAAAACAGCGAATAAACTAAACACAATATCAATTTCCTACCGTTTATTATAACTAATCCGATGTCCGTAGTACCGTCAAATCCTTCTATACTACAGCATTGAACGCGTTGGATGAGAATTCTAAGAGCGGTTTAAGGTCCCCGGCAACTCGGGCGGATCACGTGGTAAGAGAGCCTACGGTTGTATTATTCTACTGTGCAGTAAGTCCACTCTTACTACTTTCATTCATACATTCACAAAGTTCTCGGTGTCCTCGAAACGAAGTGCGTAGACAGTTCCGTCTTTTACTATAGGCGTGTGCTCATATAAAAACAAAATTTAAGAATATTATAGAAGATTTTGTGGTAAGTTATTCATAATCAACTACAAAAATTAAAAACAATAATAACAGCGAATAAACTGAACACAATATCAATTTACGGCCATTAATTAAAATTAATCCGATGCCCGCCATAAGAAACTATAGAAAGACAAACGAAACTTCACATCATGTTGCCGTTCTGTCGCAGTGTGCGCCTTGCATAAGCATTTCGACCATTTCACGGCACAGAGCAAATGTAAAGGAAGAAAGGATTGCATGATGAATAAAGAAGAAGAAATGTTCCAAAATAAAATGGCGACCGTGTTTTCATACGAAGGTAATTGTAAATAAATAAACGATTTTCATTTCTATCTTAATGATTTTCATTAGTCTCCTTAAAAATCATGTAACCTCGTTTATTCTCAGTATTTTTTGCGCAAATTTCAGATTTGCGAAAGCAAGCGAGGCAACTTGAAAATGAAATCGACTTGAAACTGGTGGCTTTCAGTAAATTAGGGGCAGGAATAAATACACCACTTAGCAATAATGATGATACTGTACCATTACTCTCAGAGGAAGACACCTTCGAAACGATGTCATTGGAAATTGAACAATTACTCAATAAGGTTAGTACCTTCATAAATCATCGACCTGAAAATGACAATTATTTAAAAATGAAATATTGTTGCTAATTTCAAAATCTTTAGCTGATACTTGTAAATGAGAGATTGTCAGAGCAACCGGTATCAGGTGCAGCGATGCTTCATACTATTCAGAGGCATAAGGATATTCTTGCAGATTTATCCCGCGAATACCGTAAAACTAATTTATTGAGAGAAAGCAGAAGGCATAGGGAAGATTTGCTCAGAGGTTCAGAGACATTCAGAACTGATGGAGTTAATAATAGGCGAGATATGTATCTGAAGGAAAACCAACATATTCATAAGTAAGTTGACAAGTTCTTATAAAATTAAGTCTTCATCTGGATGGTTATTGTCATTACGAGGCTAGGCAGATTGTGATTACTTACTGATATTTGATGACACATTTACAATTCTGGCTATAGGACAACCTAAAAAACCTACAAAACCACTCAGTTGGTCCATGATACTCATTGATAGTAACTACCAAATGCTGTAAAAACATATTAAAATTAGAATACGGTATTATTTCATTAAAACAAATTATTTTATTATTTAGAGTAACTGCCCCTCACCAATACCCAGCTGAGTCATTATAACCTGTAGGTATCTTCAGGTTTCTTTGTTGGGTTAAAAACTTTCATTAATACCTATTAGAATGCAGTACTATTCCTTTGAAATGAGTTATTAAATTATTCAGAGTAATAACCCCCTATCAACCCCCACCCGAAGTCTTATACTATATGTCTATTTTGTGGTAAAACTTATGTTAGCATAAAAATGTTGTTACACTGAAACAAGTTATCACATCATTAGCTACCCCCACCACCCTCTTGAGGCTGGAGAAACTATGGGAAATGGGTTATCGGGGTTCTTTCCCATTACTAAAATATTTTTCAAAAGCAGATTGCGTTACTATTTCATACATAGAAATCACCACTAATTTACAAAAAAAAAGTCATTTTCAATTTTTTTTTTTCAAAATGTCTTGTTTCATCACCTGTACCTTTTTGACCTTTTCGCAGGTAATAATTTATTCCGCATTCGTCAACTGGGACTACTACTAGGGTCATAAAAGTTCGTAAACCTAAATTATTTTTAATGCTTATTTACAATAATATTATATTAATCAATTATCTACACTAATATTATAAAGAGAAAAGATTTAATTTTTTGTTTGAAGAAGGCAAACTTTCCCAATTTCTAGATTTATTTGGAATCGAATTGTTTAAACCGTATTTAATTATTTTCAAAATAAAAATAATAAATGCATAATAGAAGCCTCTTAATCACTAGCGCAGGTACAAAGATGAGGTGAAGAAACAAGAACACCTTAAGCAGGTATATTTTGCAGTTGACGAAACAAGAATAAAATGGGTCATAACAGGAAAAATTTCCCTAGGTGACGAAACACAAATTGACGAAACAAGAAACTACCATTTAAACCTGCCATTTACAACCATTCATGTTCTGTCTGTCATTCTCGTTAATTTGGATAGATTTTGATTAACTGTTTACTCTTTGCAATCAATGTCATGAAAAATGTATATATATAAATGCTGTCTGGTAGTACAAGTGATAGATATTGGCGTGAAGTTATCCACAGATTTCTGGCCACACATGCTGACGTAGAGGAAAATAAAGGTCTGTGGTTGGGATACGAAATTATTAGCACCCGTACTAATATCTGTGGCTGGAAATACCTATTCACTATAGGTTGAACGTGAAATTATTGAGACTATTTGGTGTTTAACTTTTTTATAGAATCTTGACTAGATTGACGCGTCGATAATCGTTTTCTCATAAACAATACAGATTTAGGGAATAATAAAATTGTAAATATTAGACTTACTTTCCAATAACCCATATAGAAATGATATCAGATGATGTGCGTCCATCAAAATCACACAACTTCTATAGTTTCTTGAGAATATTAACTTGGTGATGACAGTTTTCTTGTCATCTAAACAGATTTCGAAAAAGAAATTGTTGAAACAATCAGACTCATTTTTTGAGATTCCTTGTATTCATGAAAATCACACAACTCTTATAGAATCTTG